ACACACGAGTATTAAGGCAGAAGGATCTTGTGTAGCTCGCATTCAGCTTCGAGCTCATTTAAAACTGCCAAGACCTAGGATAGAATGCAATACAGCACGGTACCTGTTTTCCCTTGCTAAGAGAGTCATGGTAATCGTTCTAAACAGCTTTTCTCCCCCTACAATAAGATTCATTCCTATTTTTCTTTCTGTGAATCATATAAATTGCTTCTTAAGATGTCAGAGGATCTCTCTTTCATTTCTCTCTCCATCGGATTAAGTATCGCTCCATCAGATGGTCCACCAAGACGTATACACAGAGAATCCCGCGGAAGTCAAAGGCCTCAGAGGCAGCCATCTATACAGTTTGTCCGGATCTTTGAGCTTGCCAGGCGCACAAAAGAGCTTCAGCGAGTACCAGTCACAATCTACTCCTACAATTAAGGTTGAGAACAAAGACTATATTAGAACACTTGAAAGTTCTCAGCAAGCTGCTACTTGCCCGTTCGCTCCAAAACTTGTCTATGTAGCACGTTTCCCAGATAACGATTGGTTTTAAGAACAAGTGTCCTCAAAAAAGGTTCGGATGGTGCCATACCGCTGATATGCAAGAAAGACTGCCGTAAGAGAATCTGAGCGATTATAAAAAAACCAACTCGATATCAGGGTATCAATACATTGCTTCATATTTCTGGTCGAAATTTGTCTGCCTTATCATGTAAAGCGCAATAGCAGCTCTTAATCTTAAAAGGCTTTTGAGCGCTGTAAGAGTGATGAATACTTCAAAAACAGCAAATTTTCGTTAACAAGACGCAATTAATCGACAGTGCGACCTCTTTATCATTTCATATATATATTTTTTCCTCCTCATCATGGAGTAGTTAATCTGAATATCACAGAATAATTTAGAAAATTTAGGTTGTCCTTGAATTGTCAACTTTTATTGCTTTTTCAAATTACAAGAATGTTTAATATTTTTGGAGAATTCTTAGGTATAACCTCAAAGATGAAAGCTTTTTACTCTCATCCAATCATTCAGCGTTTGCTGAGATCGTAAGCAGTAAAATGCGGTCAAATTCCTCAAGCTAGGACAATTGATATCTAAGTTCATCGAGAGACTCACTAAGTACAAATAGGTTGTCTTTCATCCAGAACGTGCATCTAACTCTTTCTGAATCCGCGGTGAAGCAAAATTTTTCCGCATGTTACAGCTTTGAGCCTTCAGAAAAAAATGTGAGAAAAGGTAAAAACAAGATAAAAGTTTCTTTCATGCTATCATACAATATTTGAACCAATCAGTAAAGCTTATGATACAGAATCATAAAAGAATACGGGACTATGACGAGGTATTAAAAGCTACGTCAGATAAGAAATGTGGGAGGAGGTCTCAGCCTTTTCTCGTCCTTGATCATCATAATCGAATGAATCGACACAATACGTATCATTGTCGACTCCCTCCACTTACGCTATAAGGGACTTTCTCATACTCTTCAAGTTGCTTTACATTCGCTCAAATGAAGGTTTTGTTCAACTTGTTCCGATTTTGTATAAGTAGTTTTATGGAATGCTATAGTGTTGGTCTTGCTGATGACTATCTTCCTCAACTTACTCTTCAGGGTTATTTATGTGGTCAGGCATAGTACGAAGGCTGTGTAATATCCTCATCTGCGTGTATGGACGCAGTTCCATCTTAATCTGCGGTCTCATTCATCGTTGCTCAGCAAAAGCTTGTACAAATCACAACATCGATCATACTTAGAATGCTTGTCGATCTAGCCAGAGAGAAAAGTGAAGCATTGTCTTCACCTGGTAAGTCAATTGCATCAACACTTAAATTGTAAATTCATCCATAAGCCCGGGGAAGAAAAGTTTATTTTACACGTCTACCATATTATCGATAGATGTGCATCTCGTTGCCAAATAATATTTATGCACCTTTCTGATGAAATTGCTTTCATTCTTCCTCCCCAATCGCATTTCGAAAATCAAAGTGAAACAATCTCCATCAGCCAAAGCTGCCGAACAATCTCTACTTAAGGTTATGACAAAATAAATAAAAAGTCTACTGCTGAACTATTGTTTGTTGACTGATTTCACTTTTTGCTCCTCACAACAACATCGTTTAATCAGGGAAAATACGCAGGAGCTAAAGTGAACAAGTGCTCAAATTGTCCGATATACTGGCAAGACGCGTTGACTAGAGCGCCTTGCCAGTATTGATCGTTCTTCCGAAGATGGATAGATTAGAGAGTGAGCATTAATTGCTTGTTTTTTGTTTTTGTAAAGGTGATTTCCCCATTAGCGTGCAGCGTGAAAGTTCATGAGGTTTCGTGTGGGGGATAGACCGCAGCAAAAATTTTGAGCGCAGCATATTCTATCGCCCACCTTTTCTGGAGAATTAATTTTACAAGAAAGAGCGGACAAGCATTGCATAGAGTAATAACCCACTCGTACTTTCTCGTCAGTTAAAGAGAAAAGATTGCTACACAAGACACACCCTATCTCAAAGTAGAAGCTCGTAAAATTTGAAGCACTCTGGTGTGGACCGTCACGACGAGAAATGATTTGAGCAACCGATACCTTTTTGTAAAGCAGGACGGATGCTGTCTCCCACAAATCTCTCTAAGAAGAAATGCGAACTTATTGGCTGAGTCCTTTAATAGATTCTGTGCACAACCTGCATCCACGAATGAGAAAACATGTGTTCACGAATGAGAAAAATTCATATTTCGTTCAAGGAAGGGTTCGCATGCCCTATTGCAGTTCATCATTCTTTCACTCTGTTCGCTAATAAGGCAGCTAAATCTTAAAGCAACCTCCGCACCTTTGCATTACAGGTCGACAGTATGATCAGAGCGCCCATACATATCTGCTCATGTGTTTCTCCTACCACATGTTTCTCGCCTTTCTTATGGCAGTTCCATTAGCCAGGCATCGCCAAGGAAAGTGAGATTAAAAAATAGTTTGGATCGCACTACGGTTTACCTGTTTGGGGCTGGAAGGAAGTGAAATATTTAAGTTAAAAGCTATCAGTTGTGTTGCTATTGTGTTCAGAAATGCAAACGCTTTCTTACATTATAAGAGATTTGAGAAGTTTGAGACGACTACTACCAGTATTTTGCAGCCGTAGATTAATCTTATCACTGCTATTTGTGCCACGCATCGAGCTTCTTCAGCGTACCCGTTAAACACTAAAGCAAAAGCAACAGTTTCTGGTGTATCTTCACGCAAGACATAGGATTACCACGACACTGGTACTATGTGCGAGGCTAAGCAGCATACCTGAAGTGATACTAGTGATGATGCAAGTGAAAAAAGGCTAAACGACTGATACGCTGGCAAGTAGAAGGACAAGGTTTCTTTCTGAGACTAAATCAGCTCGTGCCTCCCGCGCTTTCGTATCACGCCTTGTTCCTTTCCGAAAGCTTACGCCAGATTGGAAATACTATTCTCACCAGAGGCAATGGAAATCTTTGGAGCAAATTTTGTCCATCTCTAGTTTGATACAAGCAAACTCATCGACATCGAATTCCTACTGGCGAGGAAATCAGCTTTCGTCCATTCCAAGTGGTCACTGGTCGCGGTTGGCAAGGCTCTGCTTTTAGAGGTTTCACGGGTAAGACTGATATACCTGGTAGGGTCGAAAGATATTCCAGAGCCAGAAATTGAAGTCATTGCGGTGAAGCAACCTATAAGGAAGCTGACATCCAAATTTTGTAAATTATTACAATTGACGCTATTTAATTGTAGCCATCTTTTTGGTTTTCGTGATTCGTATGTGCTCCTCTCGGGCTCTGGAGGTATGTACGGCCTTGTGATAGATGATGGGGCTTCTCTTAGGACTTCGGTTGGTCCTTGCTTCCGGCCTACATAGCCGAGAAACTTCCATATGCCTCAGAATTGTTCACAGAACTTGATGTCAAGCTTGAATCAAATAATCTAATTTTATAAAATGGGAAGTTGGGAGAATGTTTCGTGCGACATTGTTGATCTAGAGGCATTCAACCTGTACAAAGAAGTACATAGAGCTGTAGTAGAACTGTCGCTGCAAACTTGCCTTCTAGCGAAGTAATTTTACCCTTACTTAGGCCAACTCTGCGGCACATTGCATCAACTTTCATTGGATCTTGAAACCTTTCTCAGCCTAGATATTATTGTAATTGGGCATCACAAGGGTACGAATTTAATTGAGAAATCGAGTACAGACAATGACAAGAAAGAGTGATGAAAGCATCGCTATTATTTCGAGGGAGTGACTCGCTCCCCGGCTTCATCATCAGTGCCGCGTATGAAAAGATGCCGCGTATGAAAAGATAATGCAGAAAAAATCTGAAAAAAATCGGCAGGTTGGTAATCAGCGCTAAAAAATCGTCATTACATTCCAATCATCAGTAAGATTTTCATTTTCCGAGAAAGACGAAAAGTTCATCTTGCTTTCGTCGCGACATTCTCTCCCTACCACGGCGGCTCGTGCCTGTGCCTTGCTAAAAATGCATTCTCAATCTTTTCGTTTTTCTTCTCTCGCTATATACAGAGGTTGTAGTCGAAGATGTCGGGCGCGTCACAGACACGTTGTCGTTGACGGGCTTTGTCCAACAATCAAGAAATAGAATCGTCGAGTGCGCGTCAAGTCGATTCTGAAGTTGTAATCTTTTGTTGGTCTAGAATATACTGCCAAAGAGCATCGGACGGCTTGCGTGACTTGGAATATTGCAATAAGTTGAACCATCTACCAATATTCTGTCCTTGACCTCGATCGTCAAGCCGAACGTAAATTTTGACTTCTTCGGCTGTTTGAGCCCGTCTACCGTCGATTTTCACAGAGATCGATAAACCTCTGGGATATGTTAAATCTGGAAACCACATTCGTACCAGTCTCAGCGGGATGGTGATCGCTGGCACTTTACAGCCTTTTACTTGGAAACAGACTGTATTGTGTGCTTGCGGAAGCGGCCTTTGGAACACTTGAAAGGCCGGAATGTCGTCGTCGATCTCTGGACTCTCAGGCTCTGTTGCGGCAGTCATAAGTCCATCAAGCTCAGGGTTGTATTGCAACGCTCTAGCTACTCGAGCCGCTCTGCTTGCTAAATGTGTAAATTGCGAGATGACACTTCTGCGTCGAAGATTGGCAACGACAGGAAGCCATCGCTGCAATTTGTTAGAAAACAGAAGTAATCCGGCACCTACCAATGCTTCGGCTATTTCTTTTGGCTGTCCCGAACCGTCCCAAATAGGTTCGGCAGAGTTCAGCTGCAGTCTGGCAAAAAACTTTGAGGGAGTGGAAGCAGAATTAAGCAAAATAAACTTTACCATTTATGATTGTATGGAACTCACAAATTCTTTTTCTTCATCATTTCGTTCCAGACATTTTTTGGAGTGTGGGGACACAGGAAATAGAATAGTCTGCCCACTGTTCAGGTGCGCTACGACCGATCTACTTTGGATGGAGACAGGCAGTTCTCCTTTTATTAACTCTTGTACGTCCAAATCATGCTTGGAAAAAAATGTGCTCTCTCGTTTGAGGCGTTCCAATAAGTTGCTGTAGAGGAAAGATAATCCCATCAATGATGCGATCAGTAAAGACGTGGTAGCATCTTCTTGTCTAATGCGCACTAGATTACTCACAAACGTTCGCGAATTACTTCAGCCGGACAACATTTCAAAAGACGATTGGCAAGATTGATTTGCCATCCTGTTCGGTGAAAAACTGTGTGGAACTGCAGATATCTCTGGGTTTGAAGGCTGATTTAGCTCCCTGCTGCAGTTTCCATAGCACAAAACTTGTCATTAAACTCACTTTTACTTCTATTAAGTACACCTTAATCCCTCCATAGACTTTTCGATAATTTTGAGCTGTTCCAATGAAAAGATCGCTCTGTTCAGAATATCGGAAGGCAGGGTCAGATTATTACTTTGGTACGATATGAAGATAATGGAACCCTTCACATACAGAAGCATCTGGCTCTCCTACCTCCAATTGAGCTGAAAGCAATAATGTGTGATTGCTTTCATTATCGATTTCCGCCGCCTGCACCATTGAGAAAAGGATGTCCAGATGAAATGTCATGAAAAAAAAATGAGACAAAGTGTGTCAAGTATTTAACATTTCAGAATTTGTCTCACCTTCAGAATTTTCTCCATTTGCTTTCGTGGCAAGGTACGGTTGCTGAAGTTCGTCATTTTCCAGCTATAGTAGTCTTGATTTCTGCTTTTGTACTTTTCCCGTACAATTCTTAGCTTGTATGTCCTGTTACATTAAAGTGTATGAATATAAAAGTCAGATTACTTTCGTTTGTGTTTTCATTGCGGAAACCTCACCCTGCTTTCAAAAGTTTCGCAAGTTCTGACAAATACTCAGTATATTTGCTTTCATACTCATGCTCGAGTGCACTTTCATCTTCTTTTGAGATTTCATCGCTGCTAGAGAGGTCAGAGTAAGCTACCGGATAAAAATGCATGTTTCCTCATTCTGTTCTTACCCTGGACTAGATGTGGAGCACAACAATCCATACCTAATGTATATGTTGCGCAAGTCTGTTCTCAAAGAGGCTAGAGTTGGATTGGCATCAGCTTCCACATTGTTTGAGTAGTTATTTGGCCTTTCCATGCATGGTGTCGAATTTAACCCTAAAAAAGGGACAGCAGGAAGTCCCAAGCTTGACCTCCAATCAAGATAAACCTTGTTCATCTGAAAAGTGCCAAGGATCAGGCACAACATAGCCTCGAAAAGGGCTGAATAGGTTTGAGAATCTAGCGTGCTCGTGAGATAGGGACATGGTCAGTGCGATGAAACTTAGGAAAAGCCCAAAGCTGATGACTTACCTTGGGAGACGATCGGAAATGCGTGTGCTGGAAAGAAAATCAACGTGCCTCTTTCGCTGATTCCACGGGCTGCATGTTGATAAAAGAGTGACTCGATATGTCTGAGAGATAATGCAGTCTGCGTAGCTACTGCCAGATCTACATGATGATCTTTAATTCTGCTTTCTATCATAGAAGAGCGTCCTACATACATTCCGGTCGCAAAACCTGCTGGATTCAAAGAGATTGCTATGTATGTTCCACCCCATTTTCCAACCTTGTCGAGGTGTTTGGTATTCTCTGCCAATTGTTGAGATGAGAAACATACTTCCCGATCTTCCAAAACACTTATTAAAACCGAACGGACTGAGTCCGAAAGAGTTTTAAAGAAGAAGTCGAATAAGTCATTGTTAACCTGTAAAATTTTATGAACTGCACTGTCTTCTAGCAGTGCCATCTTGATGTGTTGAAGTAGAGAATCTTGCGAGGCACGCTTGAAAGCTTGCAGTACAGCGTCTACGGTATCGTGAAGTCCGACATTCACCTTCTTTGGCGGAGTAGGATGAAAAGTAATGTATTCTATATGCCCTTGCCGATCAATCTTCCGGGCACCGAATTTGATATTTTCTGTGGTCCCAAACAGATGCTGTCTATTGCTCACCGGGGATCTCTTCTTAAATTGAAGTTTCTTGCTCTTGTACAAGAGCTCTGGTCCGTAAAGAAGCGGATCATAGTGCCTGCGTAGAGCGAGACTTGAAGTGACCTCCTCCACGTTCTTATCCCCTTCACTTTCCGTCATTTCGGCTTCGTGCAAGTCTTCTGAAAAGTCATCTGAATCTGTTAGATCTGAAATTGGCGAACATTCCTCCAAATTGTATTTGCGCTTTTGCCGTTCTCGCGTTTTAGCTACCATGTCGTGTTGAAGAGAGTTTTTTTTTCGAAGATTCCGGTCAGCGTGTGGGTTTGAAGAGAAAGAAGTGACTTGAATGAGAGTACATTGTACATGTACTATCTACAGACCAAGACCATTCTTTATAAGTTTGTATTCGACCAAATGTAATTTTTCGGCGGCGTGGTTTCGTTGTGAAATAGATTGTAAATTGAGCATTCTATCAGAGCGTTGTGTCATTTTTTCCTGATTCCCTTTGTGAGGAAAGTCGAACGATGCAATACTTTCAAAGGCTCGTACCGAACAAAAGGCATAGAGAAGAAAAGACAAAGGGCTAAATGTGCATGTCTGATCTACTGCATATGTGTTTGCTGCAACCTCAACATGTGCCAAACGGAAAATCCGTCAAATAGCTTGCACATATGCTATGGCAGGAAGAGTGCCGAAAGCATCAAGACGAGAAAGAAGATTACATTTACGCTCGGTCTTTGTAGCGATTGATGCAATTGACAATTATTGTGCGATGACTGAAGGTAATTTCCAACAAAAAAAATTGTATCTCACAAGTTTTCTACGATTGCCGGTAGCCAAATATCTTTGCTACTCTGCAGAAAATTCTTCAAGCTGAGCTGAAGCATTGATCTGGAAAGCACTCGTCCAGCTGCGCAAAGGTTGTGACCTGGGAACTCCTTTTTGGGGGCCACACATATTGAAGTCTCAACAACAAAGGCACGCGGGAAAATCAAATCAAATGATAGGGTACCCTGCAAATGTGCGTCCTTTTGATTGCTCTAGGCGCAGGCAGTATGGTGATTGATAACATGGCGCGTTTTGGAAAAAAGACCAAAAAAAGTTCCTTTTGTCTTCTTTTCCAGTTTACATTGCTTGTATCAGACAAGAGACGATCAAACCTTTTTTTTGTAGATTTTCGACAAGAAACAAAGGAAAACCATGAGAGTCACTTGCAATCGGTGTACAGCAAATCGCAATTGGCGTCTCGCGATGCTGCAGATGATGCTTGCCTTCTTCATGTGATGACAGAGAATGATTGATGACGTAAGCACTCAAGATACAAATGCAGAAGCATCTTTTACCATTCAATCCGACGTGGCTTTGTATACAACTTGACTTCTGCTCCAATGTGAAAAGGCGGTGGGCGCCAAGACGAATCGTAGTTGCCGTGCAATTAGTTACCACTGGCGGCGCACAATAAGTTTCTAATGGCTAAAGAAGCGGGCCTATTCTTACACAGATTTGCGGAGTAGACATAGGGAAGCCTAGCCTGCATGCGTATCCCACGGCCTTGTTGCTTCAGGTCATAGACACTTCCTCTTAAAAAATTGGCCAAAGATTGTTTGTATTCTGTCAGATAACACGCGTACTGTTCCACGGCAAAAGTGCCGCACTTTTCTTTGAACATTTTATACTATGATTCGATACGTTGCACGATGACTGCTGTGGGGCTGCTTCTTTGTTGCGCGCGATTACATTAAAACAACAAAAGTGTCTGTGCCTGTACGAAAAAAAGTGAAAGATAAGAAATTTATACGTACAGCGCACACGGCCAAGCTCCGTTATCTATCGAAACTCTCTTTTTGGCTCAAACGTCAAGAGCTGTCAAAGTTGACTCTATGCACGGAGTTGCCGTTTGACTCCGCTTCCTCGCGCAGTAGCAAGATTTGTTTTAACTCGTCTCAACGAGCAAATTTTCTCCAAAACGGTCATCATTGTCGTGGATGTGTGGAGAGAAGGTGCATGCGTTCAAGAATGATTGGTTATGACATCTACTAATCCAATAAAAGCCTCCTTAGCCACCAACACATCCAAACGTGCTCGATCGCGAAGATTCAACCGAGCAAAAACTGGTTGTTTCACCTGTAGAGCACGAAGGAAGAAATGCGACGAAACGAGGGATGCAAATACGGGCGGCTGTCAGCGATGTTTGAAATCAGGAATCGAATGTTTAGGCTTCCCAGACTTGCGTGGTGCACCTCTAGCAGCACACATAAAGAAACAAAAAAGCTGCGGAAAGTAAAAAAGCAAAACAATCTGCTCAATCGGAGCGAATTAATAACGAGCAACCACATCATTCTGTGCAACTCATTCCGCCATCGCATGCACAGCCTACAAATGTTGAATTGACGTCCTCTTTTGAACTTCCGCTAACTGACTTCTTGCATATGGACACACCACCTTCCAATGAAGCCGTTCCTGGTGCCTCTCGAAGATTGATTAGCAGACCAGCTTCTGGGAATGCAACACCTTCGATCATCGATGCTGTCAGCCAAGAAGAAAGCGCTCAAGCAATGACCGATTGGTTGAATTCTTCGATCTTGCCGTTTGCACAACATAGAGAGGGTAGCATAATCGCTAGTATTGGTTCAGCTTTTCCACATTTTTTTCCTGATGATTGGATGTCATCAGATTTACTTCACTCACTGGATAGTACCTCAAGTGTAATACCAATCTACACAGGCGTCACACCACGCATCATGTCACCATTTCAGGGTCTCCATGATGAAGATCATGCATTGAAGTCTCTTGCATCATTTTATGCAACGTTTTGTTTGAACTTTTAGTGATGCAAAAAGGAAACAGTAAAAGGGGCAAAAATGTGCTATATTGTTGAAGACCGCTTCTAAGGTTAGTGCTGAGTCAAGATCTAGCGTACCGGTAAGAGAGTCACAGGCGAGGCATATCGCTTGGTGTATGTATTATTAGAATGGTGTTGGATTGGCACCGTATAACGAATGCATCCAATTATCGATCTTCCATACGATCAAGGGTTCTCGGAAGCGTTGTGATCGATATTTTTTTTTTTCGCTGTGAAGAAGGCTGAGTGCCTTTACAAGTTCAAATGAATTTCATAGCTTCCCTGTCTTTGATATTCCTTTATTGATAAGTTATCATCCATCACGGAACACCAACAGAAAATCAATCCTTGTTTGACACGAGAAATTTCGGCTGCTGGTGAGGACGGAACATTATTCTTGAGGGAAGCGAACATTATCGCTTCACAATCTCACCAGATTTAATTCTTGATGCAATAACGAGACAAAAGGGAGCAGAACCGCATTTGTAAAAGTGTTTTAAAATGCTGGACAAGCTAAGTTTGAGATTTCTTTTGCGGGAGAAAGAGAAATTCTTGATAGATGCAAAAGTGTCCGGACCTGCCTAACTCAATCATGGCAGCCGGACAAGCGTTTCTCCACATTTGAAAGACTGCTCTGGACACTCGGTGATGTGGGCCTATGTAACGCAAGTAATTTTTCGCTAGGTTCTAGACATCGTCCTTATGGGGGAAAGACTAGAAAAGGGCTTCTACCTGCAATAAACATGCTAAATTGTGAATCTAATGTGCGTTGAAAGAAGTGCGGAATGTTTACAGGGTGGTCAATTGCTTATATAATCCTTAAGCGGTTTATTTCCTCAATTAAGTTGCTCACTCCTGCAGCCGTAAGATCCACAAGCATCTTTCTTGTACAAGCGTCAGATTGAAGAATTGTTCGTACGGCAAAATATGATACCACCAAGTGCAATAGGGCTGTAGCATGAGAGTAAACCCCATCTTCAAAATAGCGTTGTACTTGAAGGCGGGAAGGTAGAAGGAGAGAGCTTCGATTAAACTAGGACATCTCGCCAGGTTCAAAGGGTTTCCTGGCTGGTATGTGTGTATTCAATTCTATAGAAAGATTCGCCTCTAGCTGATCAGCCTAGCAGGTGTGAAGTACTTGCCCTTATCCAAAAGTAGTCTGGAACTGTAAATCAAGATAATCAGTCCCATAGCAAATCAGTTCCTGGGATTTGAGTCTCAAACCACTTCTTAATATTTGTTTTAAGATGAGCTCGGAAGCTCCCTTTGCGCAGAACCTGCGTAGGCGTTCGGCTTTTTGAAGTGCTCGACAAAGTTTCTCGACAACTCGAACATCATGAGACAAAGTTCCTGTGACTGACGCAAGCTCGATAATTTCGAGAGAACGGTGATTTTGGTCTATCAAATTAATCACATATTCAGCTGGTAGAGTACCATCTATGCATAATTCAAGTAATCTTGGACTGGCGAACGAGATGACGATTTTTGTCTGTCCCCAGTCTGGAGTATGATGTATTAGCTTGAGATAGGACAATCGAGGTAAATAAAAGCGCTGTTCCATATATTCTGCTGTGTTAGCTCGATCGCACATCTCTTGTGGATCAGTTGCCTGGATCTCCACTTCTGCATGTTCGAGCGTTTCTTGGCATGTTTGTAGCAAACGTCGTGTCATGGGTACAGATATTCCTGCTACGCCCCAAGTAGGACTAAGAGATCGAATTTGTATGCTCTTTGCTTTCCGTAGAGTTCCATAAGCAGCATTGCTCACGAAAAAGGAACTGACTGAGTCTGACAATAACGTAAGGAGACTAATCTTGCTATTGGCAAAAGGCGAATTCTCGTGAATCTCCAAAGACTCTGTTCCTTGCGGAGTTGCTATGCAAAGGGATCGTAGTTGACTGCAGTTGGAAACTGCCCAGCTCGCTGATTTTCGTAAAGAATCGCTGAAGGATGTCGAGAAGAGTCGTTGTTTTCCATCCTCACTTTGACAGAACCAACGGGTACCACAATCGATGCGAAGGTGCTTCACTTCCGTCGCGGCCAGAATTCCCAGCATGTGTCGACTGGCATCAGCTTCACCTTTGGTCGAACCGCCTATCCTGATAGCTAGCCAATCAAGCTTGCCACCTGATCGCAAAAGTATATTGTCAAGCTTCCTCCGCAAAGAGACCGGATCAGGCGCATTCTTTCCTGCGACTCGAGAGGCATCCCTCCAAACGGTGGGCATTGAGCGAGAAGTTCTGTGCCATTTCTGGCAAACTAGTTCAGCTTCACATCTCTCGCTCGGATTCAAGAGGCTAAAAATCGTTGCTAACACTTCTGCGGGTAAAGACAAAATCATCGCGTCAGAGTTATCGAGCTTGCGGCATAAGTAAAGATCTCAGCGAGCACATTCCCTGCTATGATTATTTGTGGCAATGAAAGATGAGGTGGAACCTGGAGATTGGATCTTTCTGGCAAGGTATATCCTTTTCTTCACACATAAATTCCGACCAAACTTCACTGCACGAATTTCTTTCCACGCCTCCGACCCAGAATGTTCATGAATGCAGCGGAACGCACAGATGCGAGGAACGAAGAAAGAGCAGCGATCTGAGGAATCCCACACGCTGTATTTGTGCAAGATTTATAGCACGGACGCTATACAATGTTGCATACAATCTATGAGGGGAAATGAGGGAGACAGGATTTCACGGTAGACCCTGTCTCAAGGTAGACAGTGAGTGCATAGATGCGCCTTTTGAGATCGCGCCAATCCTACAGATTTCGGATTATGTATGATGTAATTAGTGTTTTGCCTGCCCTAAATTTGTGGAGCTCAAAACCACAAGCCTTACTATGAGGGGAAATGAGGGAGACTGGATTTCAAGGTAGACAGTGCATAGATGTGCCTTTTGAGATCGCGCTAATCCTACAGATTTCGGTTTACGTATGATTTAATTAGTGTTTTGCCTGCCCTAAATTCGTGGAGCTCAAAACCACAAGCCTGCTTTTGATCTGCGTAGATATAGACACGTAATCAACAGACCTTCAGTCCATTGACGCTTAACTGTGATGTTGTGTGCAAGAAAGCGTCTAGAGGAATTATGCGCAATCTTGCGTATGTATTTTCATATCTCCCGCGTCAACTTATTCGTTGTGATAGAAAACGCCGTCACCGGATCCCGGCAAAAACGAGAAGGAAGTTACATCACAGTGAGCCTCCCTTTCAAACCAGTTCGAGAAGTGTGCACTAGATGCTATGTGTCAAGATCGTGCTCGAGGCTAACTCTTCCCAACATTATCTAAACGGCAGGACAAGGGATATGAAGGCCTATGAGACAAAGATCATCAGCATTCCGTTTTCACTTGACAATTTCTATGACGTGTGCGCAAAAAAAAAAGACTGGGAAGTAGCACCAGCACCTGAGATACATCATCGCTCAAAGGCTCGGAAAGCATAGCGGCAATTAAACTTTAAGTGATACGCCCTCAGGCCAGTGAGAAATAATGTAAAATTGTAAAGGGAAAGTTTTTTCTTAAACGTCCAGCTCTCGTAAAATAAACGCCTAGGTCTCCTATTTATGTCAGCGACGTAGAATACACGAGCTTTGGTAGGAAAGTTAAATTGCAGAGCAGCACCGGTTGAGATGTTGAAAACTTGACCAATCTTTGCTAGAAAGAAATTCTTCACCTGTGACCCCAAAAATTCAGACTTTTAATACGAAGCAAAAAAACGTTGACAAAGTGTCATTCATGTCTTATTGGTATCTGATCAAGCCTGCAACTCGTTCGAGCCATTCATTGTTCGTATTTGTCAGAAAATGGATGAACTGTACATCATGTAGATCTGATTTTTCGAAGCGCCAATTAGCGTATGGATATCTTCCCTGCTTCCACCCCTTGCTCCTTGTTGGTCAGGACCACGCCCCTAATCACTGCGCGACGAGGCTCATGAGGAAATTCATTGGTGCGAAACGATACGCGAAGCGATATGAAAAAATGAGTGACGAAGCAATATTACGAACTTTTTTTCTCTTAGCTCTCGAAAAGTCCATTAAGTGCCAGATCTAGAATCGTCCTTCAGATTCAGTAAGTGCAAGCGTGAAAGAAACAATGCCTGAAAGCTACTTAAGGTTTTCTCTTGTTCTCACAGAGGTAGTCTAGTAGTGGCTAAAGAAGGGTGATCATTCTCGTATACAAAGACACGGTGTCTGCAGGTGTGAATCAATGGGTTACGTCGAGATCGTTCACCTGTCGTCTCCGAAATCACGCTCTGCTGAGCATTTTCATTACATGACGGTTGGATATATGACAGAATATTCTATCACCACCCTATTGCTTCTTAACGTTGCGATGTCGTCCATATGGTAGTTCTGGCTTGCATCCAATGAATGTGACCGGCTCTTTTTTGCTATCGACATACTCTGGAGACATGACGGAATCTTAGCTCGATGCGATTGCAGGCACATCTAAAAGCCACATAGAAAATGAATCTGTTTCGCAGAGGATCTCACGCGCCGACGAAAATCTTTCCCAACCCAACAAATGATCGCGAAAGTCTTGCAAAGGCAAAGAATATTTTACCGATAACGATTTTGAGATTGTAGACAGGGCTTTCGGGCAATGGCAATCAAAATTTTCGAGGTTCGCACGCATGTACTTGTCACATTCATTGATTTCATTGCTAGAATTCCAAGTATTTTGCTGGATTATTGGATCGCATTTGCACAGAGTTATGATCCGAATCCTCCTATGTAATATTTCTTCATCAGAGCCTACAGCAGCAATGCAATATCGTCAAAATTCCGAGTGGGAACCTTCAGCCATCATAAAAGGGAGCTCTAGAAGCTGACACTAGGCCTCATTTCCTTACAGTCGATTCGTACTTTAAATGATAGACAACCCGGGGCATATTACGCTTGTCCCTTGCTTACCTATACTGTATTTTGGTCAGGACGGAGATGTGTCATACCAATGTGGCCTACATCACGAAAGCCTACCATTTCGTGGCTCTAAGGAATCAAGAAGAGGTCGCGTAAATTTTTTCCTGCTATGACGAAAGAAATATACAAGGTACATGCCCATACAGCGATGGAAGGCCACTAACCGCGTATTGAATCAGGATCAGGATCAGGTAGGGAAACAACGTCACGCACGAACTCAGGAGAGGGAACGGAACTACTAAACGAAAACGCGATGGTTTTGCGCAATCGGTCCAAATTGTTGCACAAGGTCATAATATTAGAAGCAAGTCATCCTATTGTCCCAATTCCATCTTCAGAAATTCAAGCTTTTCGGTGAGCTGATGCTGATTGTGATTCCTAGACATCCTACTCACAGTGTTCCGCTTCTCACATTCTCCGAAAGGAGGTAAGGAAATATCATTTTTGATCGTTCAACGTATCGGTTTTAGGGACAGAGTGTCTGTAACTTCAATACTCAAGATCTTCCCACGGCCGCTTTTGATTTTGATCTTATTCCTTTCTCTCTTCATCTTTGAGCAAATGTGATCTTTTTAGTATCCTTAATTCTCAATCAGGCAGAAATATTAGGCCAACAGAAATGTATTCAATCTAAAGTCAAGGAGATATGATTTTCCTTCATCAAGAAATTATTACAGTTGGCATCGTGAGTCTATAAGAATGATGAACTTAGGGCAAGTATATTATTCCTGTTCATAGATCGTAGTAATATTGCATCTTCAATTTCACTAGGGCTAGGCGTGCCGCAGTTCTTCGGTTTTTTCCTTCTCTGCAAGCAGAGCAGATTGTATCTATCCAGATTTTGAAAAGCGTTTTGTGAGTACCTGGAGGTTCAAGAAAAGATTTGTAATGACGACTGAATTTATTTGACATAATGCGGCTGACTGCCAGGCATGTACCGAAACCGCTTATGCTCTGAACAAGCCATCTGTAGGGAAGCTGAGTGCAACACCTTAAGCCGCTGCTGTTATGCTAGCTTTTACTTTGATGAGAAGGGTTCTTCTCCGCCCTTTGATCTTCATCTAAGTATCTCTGCCCGATCACAGAAGGACTCAAAAGTTTGTTCTATTCGCCATTACTATTGATGCAAAAGAGATCTACAAATCGCTAGTACGAGCAGCACTGCCTAGAACGGACAAGCTACGACCAATGCGTTGGCGTCTGACGAGGTCGGAAATCATCACATTTTTACAGCAAGTAATGATCCGTTGAGTCAGCCTAACACGAGAGCATTAAGTCGCTCTTTGATACTTTGCTGAAAAGATTGAATGATCCATGTCTTGATTCGATGAATGATGGTCAGTAACATCACCCGCTCCATATGATTGCGTATCCAGAGCGGTTTGTCGAGCAAAGGTAGGAGAAACTATTTACTCAGTATCAGTGAGCAATCCGGCAGATATTATTACGTGGCAAACTTACAATGCGTGAATTACCCAAGCGGTAGGCGAGATGGAACTGCCATTGCGCGCCAGCTGAAGTTGCAGCCACAATATACGGTATGTAAGGTTTTCCGGATAATTCTGCAAGCTCGTCCAGAAGGCCTAATGCTCGGGCTGCGCCTACAGCCACTTGATTTTCCGCCCATAGGATGGGATTCTTGTCTGATTTTGCCTCATAAATGAATGCGGGATAGATAATATCTTGCATTTGTGAGGGACTGAAGGTGATTCTGTATGAAGTACAAAAAGGTATTACAATGGGAGTAGCACTGTTCATTCTAAGTGAAGTATTCTTCTTTGTTTCTGTTTTCTGGAAAGGCCCGAGAACGAGCTTTACAAAGAGATTTTGCTGCTACTATTCATCAACACCTTAACGAAGATGAATTGACATTAATCTTTTGTTAGATCAATTTCAACGCAGTATAATGATCGATTTAGCCTTAAGAGTTAATTATGGGCCGATTCGACATAATATGTCAGGTTCTTTCGCAACATTCTGGCATTCGTCGAATGGCAAATCAAGTATAGAATTCATATCGATACGCGCAAATCTACTAGTAGACGCATGCTCGCGCCTTCAATTGACCGTAAGGAAGAAAGGCGTAAAGAGCCGCATCAACGTATGCCTCTTACTGCTATCATGGGTCGGCCAATCTTGATCACTGTTCCGTTTGGCGATGCGCGCTAAAGGTAAGGTGGTCGAAAAGAAATGGTACTCAAATCCTGCCTACGTCGTATTCTCTTGAAGCAAATTAAGGATCATCCATGAATTGATTTTTGGCTGTATCAATAGTTTGATCTGTTCTATTTTTAGCAACTTGTTCAAGGATGAGAGTACATTCAATATTTGCTTTTCTAAATGAATTTCCGGGCAAGTTGAAATCACTCGATTTCTGAGGCAATAGACCGGAGGTAGATCCGCTGCGTGCCCATCTGTACACCAGATTGGCGGATCTGACGTTAGATTGCAAGCTGTCTGCATAGCGCAGATGATGGTACGCACCAAGTAGTAAGGTTTGCGGCGTTGCGGTGATTATTGAGCCCTCTTGGGTCAATATGTAGATACCGAGCTCTTATCGGTAACGCCAAATGATGACACAGTTCGCAATGTAGCCACCATAAAAAATAACACGTTAAACGGGTTTTAACCTTTACGGGCTCAAAGTATGCTTCCTGTGTGATTGCACAGACGTAATACTGTGTATGGTGAATCTCTCTTTAACATTCAGTGTGTTCCTGCCGTTCTGCAGACAATCGAAGCCGGCGCCGCGCCAAAGAAGGAAGCGGGGAGAATCAATCCAGCAATTATTGAGCGCGCGGCAGGGTTTTTCTTAGCTCCACCTTCTGACATCCATCAGGGCGACGCTTCGAATAACGAAAGACAAGTCGTTTTTGCAAAAACCTCGCTGAGGGCGACCAAATTTGGTCTTGCCGTCATGATAGGGAAGCGCATCGTCGAGGCGCTCTTCTTTTTGCCCGTCCTCTGGTTTCTCGCAGTCCTTCTCTACATCACTACACCAACGCTCAATATCTCTAATCCCACGCAGCAGGCTCTCGACACATTCAACATCAATGTCGCGTCAGGTCGACAAACGCCAATAAGCTCTTACGTCAAGCGGGTGTTTGAGCGTCAGCATTTTGTACCGAATCACGCCAGAGATTTTCTTCAAGGTCTTTCGTCTGCGAATGTCGATTACACAAGTATTTTGAATCGGGCTTATTTTGAATTGGAGGCTGCATGGATGCCTTCAACGAGATCTGTTGTGCTCAGCTCACCTCTGGCAAACACGGAATTCACATGCGACACTTCAAGCGTGACCACAAACACTGTTGTGACACATTACGCACATTTAGCTGACGGAGATGGTGTAGCAATGCCATGGTTCAACACGGCTGACGCTGTGCTTTTAGATGTTCAATCACGTTCCTTTGTACACGAGGTCAACATGGCTGCGTTGCCCATCCGAGCAGTATGTCGTATGCGAAGGCAAGACGGAGCGGACGAAGAAGATGAGACGGAGCACGTAGAGAAAGAGTGGACGCAAATGATGTCCCTTGCAATTGATTTTGGGACACAAGCAAAGCCGAAGATGGTCATGCAGTTTGGATTTACCGACGATGGTCACTTGACGTGGCTAAACTTCGGAAGCAAAGATACAAGTGTCGTGTTAGCTCCATCGCATTTTCTAGGATTCCGAATGATGCTTTTAAACATCATTGGTCCGTCTGCAATCGCCCTAAACAATACGCACATCTTTGATATGATTGTTATTGCCGTTGAAGCGTGCATGCTGATCACCAAGGGTATCATCTTGGTTGCGTTCTTCGGGCTGGTCGCATACGTGATGTTTTCAGGAGCGCGAAGTGCGTTGCGACAAAGTCGAATAAAAAGTAGGGCATGCAAATCAGACGTATTACCGTAAACTAAGCGCGAAAGGACAAATAGAGCATCAACCACGCCTTATGACGGCTCGCGTCCAGCCGCTTAATGGTATCACTGAGCATTTCCGACGGATCGATGGAAAGTGTACTCCATAATTGTTTTTGTCGCTGTTCTTCTTGCAATCACCTCTCAATCTCACCGCCGCCGTAACGGTGCTTGACGCGATCGAACAAAATCTGGCCAAGTACGAGTGCAGTAAGCAGGCCAGCGTGTTCGTTAGTCTCGGCGTGTTGTCCGAACACAACATACGTATAATGGAAGTCTTCGAGAGCACAAAGAAGCTTACTGGCTTGAACGGACCAATCAGAGGTCCAACCCAGTAAACCTAGTGTTGGCCCGGAAACTACGCGGCTGTGACATGTGGACCAAAAGCACTGGCAGGATTGATGCCACAGCCCGTCCACCCCACGCCGAACATGTGACATGCGAACGACACCAAAGCGATCCATACAGGCTCCAAATGCGTGCTATCGTGCTTCTCAGCAGCGAAGAATAGGGCAATTAGGACCAGGACGCGGCCGAAAACCTCGATGAACAATCATTGTCCTACGTTCACGCCTGCATACTGTGTGGTGACGTATGATCATGCTCTGACGAAAGGTGTCGGAGCCGTAACGAGACCTGCACCTGCAATACCTCGTAGAAGCTGCGCAATCACGAGCAAAGTGGCTTGAACTGCATCCAGCCGGCCGATGAGATAGAGGGCAAGCGCAATTGCAGTATGGAAAAGTGTCGGTGACACCAAAAAAATAAACAGCTGAGAATGGTAACTAAGTTTTCTGACTCTGTTTTCTTCAATACTAAAAATTGTATTCATTGACTTAAAGTTTTTACAAATCTCTTGAATGCATCCCACTGCGTACGTTTACAGGCTTAGTGACTGCATTCGAGGGCCGCGAACAAAGCAGATAGATAAAAATTCTTGTCAATATCAGTCGCGCAAATTTGCTTAATTTCCATTCCTTTACTTACAGAGCAGCCGAAAGTTATGGTTTTCTGGATTGGCCACCATAGCCCTTTCAATATACACGGAATTTCACTTTTGCTGAATTTCCTCTAATCCTGGCAGTGCAAAAGTGCATAAGAACGAAGAAAAATACGAAAATTGATAATGGTCTGTCAAAATGAATTCAACACAGAATGAGAAAAGGCTTAGATCTATATCGTCGTTTCGTTATCAGGCTTATTTCAGCAGCGCCAGCTCTCATCATTACAATGTTTATTTCTACTTTTTTTTCTAGTTCGCGAGAAAGTTTGGTCATTTAGACTTCTACACATTTCAGTGATAATTTCTGTCAAATTCAAAGCTATATTCAAAACATGCAAGAAAAGCAGTTTTGTAAGCTCTTCAACGTAAACACCGCCGCCGTGTGTGAGAACTCAGACTATTATTCGAAATCGAGAGCATTCGTAAAGACAGATTGCAGACGCATAGAGACTACGCATTACTTGAAAGAATAGAATGACTCAGCGTCTTCAGCCGAAATCCTTTCTTTTAAAAAATAAAAAAGTGAGAAGAAAGGCATAGGCTTGTTCGCTATCCTGGCATCCTTCTCTTCGGAGGCACAGATCCGTCCGGGAAAGAAGTGGAGATGCTACGAACACTATGTCGCTGTGAGGTAGCTCAGAAAAGCTTCTTCAGAACTGATATACATAAATGAATGCAGAGAAGATGCAGCAGTAGAAAATTACAGTAGCAGGGGCAGAAGGCACGAATCCTGACTTCGTGCTATGTACTTAAGTAATTATCCAACCATAATTTTCAATTCGTATTACTTAATTCAAAGCATACGTCTGGCCATCAAGTCTTGCGACTTCTTCACGATCCGCCAGATTAGAAATGAATCTAACATCGCACAAATTGATCTCTTTGCCCTTACTTTAGATTGCCTTTGTAACATAAGTATGAGTAGGATTTTGAAATATGGACTCTAATTCATGCTTCGTCCTGCCGGAAAAGATATCAGGAATGGTGCACCTTTTCAAATCAATTGTATTATATACGGTTCCTAAATTACATTTTGGAGATTGCGGCTGCATAACGCCACCCATAAGTAGTAGCTCGAATGATATGCGATACACCTTGTGGTAGGCATTCATTGCTCACGACGATTCTTCTCTCGCATAAATGACAAGGTTGCGCAGGCTCTTTTCCCGCTTGTAGTCGATCAGGAATTGAATCGTTTGCTTGTCTGTGCGGCTGTACAGGACGCAGGCTCGAACTTCTAGACACGTCAAAACGACGAAAGCGAGCAAGAGAACCACGAGTATAGGTGACCCACAAACGCTTTTGGTTACGAGGAATACTGCGAGCTAACTCATGAATGTAGGTTGATCCTTTTTTTTCTTATGAGACAATATTGCTGCATGATCGATATCAGACTTTGTGGGCCGCTCTGGGAGCGTGACCAAATCTTATCTGCTTTATCCGAACGAATGGATCAAACTGAAATTTTGAGTGCCCCTTTCAAACGCCGCATTCTTATCGAATGTATTTCCGCCCAGGTTCCCTGATCTCCAATCAATTCGACGATCATAGTCGGCAAAATGTGACATACTAAAACATCCAGCTGCTCATCATGCTATACTTTTAGTGATGCAAAAAGGAAACAGTAAAAAGGGCAAAAATGTGCTATATAGTTGAGCACCGCTTCTAAGGTTAGTGCCGAGTCAAGATCTAGCGCACCGGTAAGAGAGTCGCAGGCGAGGCATATCGCTTGGTGTATGTTTTATTAGAATG